GCTCCAAGTGTCTCAGGTTTGAAGTGTGACTTCTCCAAACTGCATCTTTCGGCCCTCTCCATTGTTTTTCCAATATGCTTCCCGAGCAGGACACAGAAGGCCACTTCAGAATAGAACCATGTTTTGTTCTTAGCCATTGTCGGGTACTTTAAGCGGTTTGTTTTTGGGTCATTATCCTGTTGGAGGACCCAAGACCTAGGACTGAGATTGAGCTTTCTGGCATTGGGTAGTACATTTTACTCCGGATTTATTTGATAGTGTTGAGATATCATTGTGCCCTGCACGGATTTAGGGCACCTCGTATCAGACACAAAAAAACAGATCCAACACATAACCGTGCCTCCTCCATCTTTCACAGTAGGTACGGTGTTCTTTTCTATTAAAAGCTTCACTTTTTCATCTGTGAACATAGGGCTAATGTGACTTGCCAAAAAGCTATAGTTTTGTTTCAACTGTCCAAAGGACATTCTCCCAGAAGCATTATGGCTTGTTGATATGCAATTTAGAAATTCCAGTCTGGCTTTTTTTAACAGTGGTGTCCTCCTGGGTCTTCTTCCTTTGATCACACCGGTTTTTTTGAGCGACAGTGGGCTTAGACATTGATGCACCTTGACTGTGTAGTTCAACTCGTATCTCTTTGGAGGTTTTCATTACCTCTTTGTCTACAATTTTTACTATCATTCTGTTCAATCTGGTGTCGATTTTCCTCTTACTGTCATGTTCAGGGAGGTTGGCTACATTCCAATGGATCTTAAACTTAAAAGATTTGCAACTGTAGTCAAAGGAACATCAAGCTGCTTGGAGATGGTCTTTTAGCCTTTAACGTTGACATGCTGGTCTATAATTTGCTTTCTGCTCTCCTTTGCTTTCTCTGGCCAATGTTTATTGTGGGGAACATGATGATATCAAAACACAGCGACTATTTTTCTCCATTGTTTCAATGCTTAAAGTGACACTAAACTCAGGAGTTAAACCTTAAAAATGCATTCAACTACCTTAACGATTAACAAAACTGGACCTTATTTGTGTATCGCTCAGCTGTAGATCCTAAAATTATCTCTAAATTTGTGTTGACATTGTCCTTCCTTCTGGAGGGTGACTGCTTGCGTTCCCCATGGTCCCTGTGTGTTGTAAAGTAGCCACCGCTCCAACCTCACTATGGTGATGGACTACAATCTCAATACAAATAAGTAAACTAGACATGAGATTGTAGTCCATCAAGGGAGTGAGCTTGGAGCGGTGACTACTTTACAACACACACACAGGGACCATGGGGAACAAAAGTAGCCAGAAGGAACTATGGGGTAACCTTTATATCCCATAGTTCTCTTAATTGTCATGGTAGGACATATACTAGCGTTCTCCCGTGACCCAAAGCTCAGTATATAGTGAGCTACAGCTCGCTATATACTGGGAGTGCTGCAGCCAGGACGGATCCCGACAGATCCACCCAGCTGCCTGAGTGACAGCTGGCTCTGCCTATCTAGAGGTAGAGCCAGCTGTGCCCACCCCTTCCCCCATCCGTTCCTCCACTCAGCGCTGGAGGATCAGAGCGGGGAAGGGGGAATCCCTGGGGGAGCCGTGATTGATAGTCACCGCTCTCTACGGGGAGATGATCGAGATGTGAGCGAGCGAAGTTATGTGTTAGCTCACTTCCCGAGCTATAGAGCTGACCTGTGATAGTTTAATTGTCACACGTCAGCTCAAACTATGAGGTTGAGTGAAAATCACTCACCAAATAGTTCTCTTTTAAGGTACTTGAGTTGAGTGTCATTTAAACTGTAAATGTCAGCACTATATAAATGCCTGTAACAATCATAATAAAAATAATAATAAATATATAGGTAGAGGGAATCGAAATGTTATTTTGTGGAAATAATTGAAAGTACATATGCTCAGCATGGGAAATCCAGGAAAAATATGGTGAGTAAAAGACATGACTTAGATGACCCACAGCGGTGAGCGCAGGGAGTTTTCTTTCCATTAATTGTACAGTATAATGTTTCCGTGTTTACCTCCTAAAATCAGTCACAGCTAATAACAAACAGACAAGAGAACATCTGTCAGTCGGTTTGGAAATGTTGTTTGGGTTACATTCACAACCTACATTTAACATGGTCGTGTACAAATAGGTCTCACACAATCTAACCCAAGATCTTGTGTAATGATCACAAGGCACCTGAACCCACCACGGTTCATGCAGCTAGTTTGGAGGGGGGATGGGTTTTTTTTTTTAAGCAATTACAATGATAGGTTAGTTTCATTTTATATGGGAACATACAGTAAGTAAATATTAAAAGTCAAAAATAAATAAATAGATAAATAAAACTTCCCGCATTAGCAAAACGAATTACCTCTAACCTCTTGCAGGCACTGCGACTGCAAGGTCGATTTTAACTATTAGCTGGCAAATGCCAACTCAATATAAATACAACATTTCAGAACTTCACACTGGCTGAACTCAAAAAAAAATTTCAGTGACTTAAATTAATACCCAACTGAGCTAAAGAGTATTTATTTTATATTACTACTTTTATTTTAGGCTAGGTCCAGATATCGACGATCGGGGGGGCGATCATGCACAATTGCACACATCGGTTGCTGTGAGGCCCCATTGTTTTTAATGGGCTTACATCCTCGTGGCAATTGCTGAAAAAGGGTACATGTACCTCTGTTTGCAACACGCACTGCACGGTTTTTTGAACCGCGAACATTCATGATTGCACAGGCAGAATTGTGGCGGGAAACCGCACAATCTGCCTGGTGTGCTTTTTAAAAATAATGGCGCCAACATGCGTGTTTGGCTGTGTGTGCGATTCCGTGAACGTGCAGCCATCCATGCGGTTTCGTGCACGATTGACGCGCGGTCACGGATCACCCTAGTGTGATCCTAGCCTAGAGGGTAAAGTATACTTTCTTACAAAAGTATAAACTCGCCCTTTTTTGGTCCCGCCCCTTTCCAACACTACCTAACAGGAGGAATAGGTGGCGTGTTCTTGAAGCTGTGACCCACCGCATTGTTTAACTACTGCCAACCTTATCCACAGGAAGAAGATCGAGGCAGGCAGGAAGTAAACGTTGCTTTGAGCTGTTTCTGCAAGAACTCAGTAAGTATGATGCACTTGTGAGGTGAGGGGGGTGTTTGCAAAAAAATTTAAGCTGGCCATAAACTGTAATATTTTCTTCATTTAGCCTGAATAATACAAATTCCTCCATCAAAGCTTAAGAGCGTTGGTTGAGGAATCTCCCCGTCTTCATTGTATTCCGACGGCGGCCACGGTCAGAATACCTGAACAGAGCTGGCAGATTTTTCAACCAGTTCCTTTGATCAGCGGAAACAGCACCCACAGTGCGAATTTTGGCTGGCTCATCAGGAACGGGCCGAAATTCGAATAGTGTATGGCCAGCAGAAGTATAATTTGTTTGAAAGTGTACCAACCCTTTAAAACCTTTCCTCCAGAAAAAAAAAACAGCCACATTATGTTCTCATTTAAAAGCCATTAGGTGCACCCTGCCCATATGCTTGGCTGGAATGTATTTTTGTCAAAGGGTATCTAAGGGACAGGTATTTAGGGAAAACCCCTCCAGTGTGGTCACATACACCGGAAAAAAAAAAACTGACAGAAATTTTAAGTCTCCAGATACTTGAATATAGCAAAGTCATACACTAGATATATTTTTTATCAAGTTATATACTTCTTATTAAATAGGTACTGGGCTAGTTTTCTTTGCACAAAGGCCAGTGAAAGGGCAGTACGACAATCTTCATTGAGAAAGGAGATTGAAGTGCAAACTGTTCATTTATGTACACAGAATTCAGCACCTTTTGCACAAAATGTACTTGAATAGGTAAAGCATTATAACTATACAAAACACAGCTGAGGTGATCTGAACTAGTGTTCAAGCTGTAGAGATGATAAAGGACTATGTATGCCACAAGAAGCATCCAAATTATATTACAGTAATGACAGGCATACCATTGTGGTCTATGCAAACCTAATGGAATAAGTTTAAAAGAACCACTCGGCACTGCTCTGCCACACCTAAATGAAGTACAATGGACAGAATTATGCTCCAGTAGACTAGAAAGAAGCATGCATCATTACCAGATTTACATTTCCTCTCGTTTGGAGCTTTAAAAAGGATCTGATTAGAGCTGCAGCTAACGATTATTTTAAAAATCGATTAGTTAGCCGATTATTAAGTTCGATTAATCGGTTAATCGGATAAACTATAAAATAAAGTTTAAAAAATGGCTCCAGATCTGATGTGACATTTACCTTTATTTGTACAGAACAAGCAAATGCTATAGTGCATGACAAAATAAACATAAATGAGTAACATAAACTATGAGACACAGCCACAAGAGCTCCACAGAAAATATGAACAAAAATCAAACGATTTAATACACAAAATACAGAATATATATACTGCGTTATATTAATATAACATACCAGACACTGCATTATGTTGTTCATTATAAGCAAAGATGTCTGTATGAACATTGCACAACCCAGGAGACATATGTTCTACCAGTTTCTCAACTTTCTGCCCCCTGTGTACCATGTGGAATTCTGTAAACATATATATGATACGTCTAGACACCCGGTACCATAAGTCAGCAATTTCCATATGACAAGTCAAAGCGGTTTCAGTTTTTAAAGGGTACTTTCAAAATAATGAAGACACAATATAAAAAAAAACCCCCACACACACACCAACAAAACACGACAAAAAGAACACGCTACACACAACAATTTACATGTCAAGAGCCCTAGTATACAGATCGCCACATTTCCACGAAATTAAAATGGTTTCCTACAGAAATCTTGTGGGTCTGGTATATGCAGCAACACGCTCTTTTTTTTTTTAATGACAATATTTGTAGACATAGACATGTGTACACACAAACACACACAGATCAAAGAGATTGGACCATGCATTTACATTTGCTGGTAGTAGCACTAGTCATTGTGATAAATCGGGCAGGAAACACTTACGAGACATATGCTGGGTAGCCAAATCCAATCAGGTTGCAGAGAAGAGATGCTCCATATCCAAACACCAAGTATACAGCTACGATGCCAATAACGCCTGTTAGGGGGGAAAAAAGTCATTTAATTGAACACAAGATGCAATCATCTGATCGTTCACAAACCCTGCACAACTTTCCTTCAATAAACAAGTATAAGCAGAAAGAACTTGAGCAACTACGGGAAGGAATACATCTCCACTTACTCACATTTTCCAATCTACTCTCTCTGCTGGAAGACATAAGAGAAAACTTTTCCTTTCTGACTAGCAACTACACAGAATTGATCATACATGAAGAAGATGGAATCTGAACTGCAGTTGTTGCCAATTAGAACTGGCATACACTCCCAATTTTAAAACATTCCATATTGCAGAAACACATACCAAGCTAATTGCTAATCAAGACACGCGAGATTTCAGGAAGGTCTTTCATGCCTAGAAAGTTCTCAAACGATCCCATCCTGCTGCTTACCTGCTGCAAGGAACCGAATCATCTTCCAGACGGTTTGGCTAAAGCTTCCTACAATGCACGTCAACTCTACTTCTGCCAACTTCCCCTCCCTCTCCTCCTCCCACACATGCAAATCACACGCATTCCCAAACTTACAGCTTCAGCTGTTGAGCCATCGCGACATATGCTATTCCCCATGTAAATATAATGAAATGTACAGCACTAAGATTATTGTATACAAATCATAAAAGAAAAACTGACCCGTAAATCCCTTTCATATCACATTCTGAAACAAAGAGCTTAAAGGAGAATTATGGGGCGAGTGAAAAACACTTAATTCAAGCCATCCTGTGACACTGAGGCTGTCACAGGTAACTCTGGGTTGTGGACCGCACTGTGCCACACTGGGTCATGACACTTCAAGCTTATTCTGCACCACGCTTCTGAGGCAGGCCTTTAAGCTAGCTCTGAGCAATTTTTTTTTATCTAGGCCAGAAGGCCTGCCTCTTCTTGCACTGGCAGCTAATGATTGTATGGCACTTATTTTTAAGCATGACTGACCTTTTTGATCTCACAGAATAATGGAAGGTGTGGGTGCCTTCAGGGGCCCGTCCTGATGTTAGGGGAGAGGTTCTGTGGTGTCCTCACCAAGTACTTGGTGGACCAGCTTTGGCTGATCCCGAAGAATCAGGGTCGGCCTGGGTTTGACCTCGGTGGACCAGGCTTACCCTGTCTCTCTGTCAGGTGCTTGCGCTCAGGGGCAGGGATTCAGGAAATCTTATGTTTTCAGAGGAGGACCAAAAGCACCCTTGTGCACTTTTTTTCTGTGGATTTTCTGGTTACTTTTTCCTGTTTACAGTGGACGTTTGTTGTGTTGCACACACCACAGGCTTTAGGGGGAGGGGGGCAAATATAAAACAAAAATGAGTTAATAATTTCAAGAATTGTGCCCAACGTTCCAGGGAAAAGGCTCTGCACTGTGTCTGTTCTTCATTTCTGGATGGGAACCTGCAAATTTTTCAGCCAAAAGTTTGACATTTGCAAAATGTCTAACATCCCAGGGATTCAGGGCTTGTTCAAACGAATTTCTGGTCCAGATCTGGAGACGCAGTCCCATGCATGCAGTGCGTTTTTGATGTGTTTGTTTACAAAAAAAACAACATTTTTGGTTGGAGTGGGGCTGTCAGTATGTTAGCTGCAGTGCGTTTTCGTTGCGCTTTTGACGCGATCGTGCATATCCGCACCGTTTCCACACCGGGCAAAATGTGACATGCAGTATTTTTTCTGTCCGGACCGGAACGGACTGCGCTCATAAAACACACAGGGATACATTTTGGTGCATGGATCTGGTCCGGACAGAATCCAGACGTCGTGTGAGCAAGCCCTCACCGTGAACCCATGATACTGGTGAGCTTCAAACCTAAGATTCAGATTTTGGCTGCAACCAACCACACTTTAGGCTGCATTCACTTGGGGAGTTCTGGAACTCCTTCATCAGGAACCTATGGACTCCTGCGGCAGGAATGCCAGGTGCCCCCATTAGATGCAGAACCTGTACCCATTTAGGTAAATGACAGGGTGACAGCAGTTGCATCTGGCAGTGGCGGTTTACATGTAATTGTATATGATAAGATTACATGCGGTTTGGAATAGATGATTGTCCCTGAACACAGGATAGATGCATCCAGCAACAATCATCTATCCCAACCCACAGGTAATCGTACCATGTACAATTACATGCGGACTGCCGCTGACAGATCCAGCCGCTGTCACCCTGTCATTAACTTCAATGGGTACAGCAGCCACATCTGAATGTGGACCTAGGTTTTTTCTGCATAATTCCTTCGGTTCCTGCCACATGAATCGCAGAACGCAGCATGTGTCTCTATGTGAATGGGGCCTTATGAGCAGCCCTAGTGCATATTGAGGTCTGTAGACACTGGGGGCTGTTTGCAGATGCAGACATAAGACATAATTCAGCTGCACTTGCTTGCTGACAGAGGAGACCAGAAGTGCAGAGGGGGCCGAGTCAGCACTCAGTGGTGTCTACAGCTCATCTTCCTCTCCATTCTATATAGGCCAAGCATGAGCAGTCATCTGAGCCAAATGTTAAAGTTTAGGAGTCTTCAGGGAGACTGATATCGTTGAGGACCTAGGTGCACCAGGTAATACTGCCCAGGTATCTGTGAATGGACAAATGCAATAAGACTCCTTTCATATTGTTCATCACATAGGTCATGTGTCAGCAAGATGGGGAACTATTTCTTTTTAATGGCACCCAACACAGGAGAATGCACAGCAACGCACATAAAAAAGGTTGCATGGCCAATTTTGTGGACAAATTAGTGTGTTGACATTGCTTTCATTTGAATGTCCTATCTTAAATGCAATGCACATGAACACACACAAAAATGCACGTGTTAAAGAAACGAAAAGAACGCCAAGGTGTGAATGGGCTCTAACCGTATGGCCCCTCACAGCAGCAAATCTTCAGCCTGCTACAGAGTATTTTATTTACTAAAGGTTTATAAAGTTTGTCTCTACAGACTCAACAAGATTATATCACAGTGAAGAGGGAGGTGAATGGTGCAAGCAGATGCTTATGACACTTTTTACCTTGATCGGACAAGTTGTCCAAACAACCTAATTGAGGTTTCCCTTAAAGCGACCCTGTGGCATTTTCACACCTAGTAAACTGGCCACCAAATTGTGTAGAAGACACAACATTGCTCCTGCATGTATTTGCAGTTTATTTCCAAAACATCCTGGGAAACCCAGATTCTGGGGAGCTCTAATACTATAATATGGGTCAGACCTTGCATAGACACCATCTTGCTCTCCTTCCCCACTGGGACAGGTATTAGATTGACCATGCAAGCTCTCCGTATTTCCATAATATAGCATCCTTTGTTTTGGGGTTCACTGGCCACTCTGGAAACAAAATGAGCATGTGCGCAAGAACCATGAGGTACATTCTACTGTATAGGTCTGGTGCCATTGTGTGCCAAGTCCAATGACTGTTCAAAAAGTCTGTCTGTCTGCAGACTTTACTGTTAAGGGACTGAGAACACCAGCCAAAAGCAGATTAGGGTGAGGGAGCCTGATGCTATCAAGGTTTCATCTGAAAGCCCAGGCAACTTGCGTCCAGGCTTGGGGATCCATATTTCTCTTCATGATATAAAGGTTTTGTTTTGCACCACACACTTGTGTCTATGTCCTTGGGCTACCAATGTCAGTATATATTGTTTGGCTTTGTCTTGCCACCTGACAAATACTAACCTGCTCACACTGTCTACCAATCCCTATACAACTACAATGGCTCAAAAACAAAAGCAAAAGAGTTTAAATATTTTATATATATACTACATTCAATCCTATGCAGAGTTTGTCCATTTGGTGAAGTAAATCTCTCCACAGAATTGAATATAATATACAGTGCATGAGAAAGCCCATATCAGAAGCATTTGACTGCTGGCTGTGTCGCTTTGTGGACCATATCTAACTGCTTTTGAGACAGGCGAGTGGTAGACTGGCAGGGGTTGGTGGACTACAATAAAAGTGTAACTACACCCTTTAACAAAGGAGGGAGAGAGGGGGAAGACATGAAAACTGAATACTTACCTTTCAGTAATTTTCCTTTCCTGGTGCCTTGACATAGCAGCATACCTCCATGTATGCTGCCATGTTGGCACCAGGAAAGAATAATTATCTATCTATATCTTTCTTTCCATTCGTCCACCAATTGACAGACAATGGTTTGCATGGTGTCTGCAGTACATCTTGTATATGCTTTACAGTCTTCTTTTACAAAGCACAAGCTGAACTAAAAACAGTGACCTGTATTGCTCATTACTGTGCCCTCATGCAAAAACCGTGTAAACAAGACACCATATTGCTCTAATTGGCAAGAAAAAAAAAACAACAAATTATTGAACTGCAAATGCAATTAAAAAAGAGCTGTGAAAAATGTTTCACCCTTCTCCTTAAGCAGCCTCATGATTGCAAGTGAAGATCATCATCATATCACATGCCTACATCCGTGCCCATGCCGTGTTATAAAAGTATTCTCGAATAGCATGAAATATAAATGTTATCTACAGACACAGCACTCTGTTCTTTCTGCAACGTCACCCACATAAATCACAACAAAGACCGGCATTGTCCACAAATTGTGGCAGACCCAGCAAACAACATATGTATGTGTAAACAGCCCATTGGGTCTGTTGGAGCTCCCCAATGATATGTTTATGGCTAGTACACAGAACACCACATACACAGATCTTATGTTTAATGTGAAGCTGCAATTTGGTAAATGTAAACAAAATATTTTCCATGTTAACTATATTCCTTGCAGACCTGTACCTTTCTCTATTTTTTGGATTGCTGTTCTTAGGGGTGCATTTCTAAATGTTCCTATACTGGTCAGCGTCATCTATGGGCAGTAGTGCTGTGTGAACACCATGCTCCTAGCTATACCGCAGGCAGAGCTTTTATAGTGCACTCCGTCATGAAATAATGAAAAATAAAATAAAAGGCGTGCCAAAGGGGATTTCCCTTACTAATAATTGCATGATCAGTTGAAATAATTCACCTCTGACATGCTTTTAGTTGTGCAATGAGTCCACCAAAGATGAAATCCCCAGTGCAGTGTCTGCTTCCACTGCTGATTCTCTGTTCAGTAATATAGGTGAATTGTCCTTGCAGCAGACCTGTGACACTGGAAGCCAGTAATGTAAAACGGACATACAACTGCCTGGGTGTGCAATATAGGAGGACAGGTGTGGGAATCACAAGAATGGATGAACAGAATTACAGATCCTTTAGCTGACACGGCAGCTCATGTACAGTATATACCAGGGGTGGGCAACTCCAGCCCTCCAGCTGTTGTGGAACTACAAGTCCCACGAGGCATTGCAAGACTGACAGTTGCAGGCATGACTACCAGAGGCAGAGGCATGTTGGGATTTGTAGTTAAAGCACAACTGGAGGGCCAGAGTATTCCATGCCTGCGCTATACATTTGGACTGTTCTGCTTTCAGATGGTAACAAAGCCTACAGGATGGTTGGCCATGCAGGCCCAATCTAAATGTCAGGAGAGTTCTTTATTTGGCAGCTTCAGACAGGAACATGTATTTTCTGATTGTCCAAGCAGCCACGTTTATCCTATAAAGGGGAGAAGGTAGAGCAGCGAGGAACCCGCAGCCCCAGCTTATATTGGTAAAAACATAAGTCAGATGAATGGTTTTGACCTATCCTAACAATCATTAGATATTGAAAAGATATTAGAGCAGATGTAGGCAACACTTGCACTCCAGCTGAGTTGAAACTACAAATCCCATCATGCTTCTGCATCTCGGAGTCATGCCTGTGGCTGTCTAAGTCTTGCAATGCCTCATGGGACTTGTAGTTCCACAAAACACTGCAGTGCCCAGTTTGCCTTCCACTGGTTTAGTCTTCTGATATGACCAGTGATCAGGTTATTTCTATGGTAATTTCTATGGTAAGCTTTAGAGGAATACCTTGGTATACACAATAGCAACCTATGTATATACCCAATAAAATGGCCTTTTTACCTTTAAGGATATACTACCGCTACCATAACAAAAAGTTATTTGTGCTGTGTTTGATGTTTTGGTAAAAGTTTGAAATTCCCTACCAAAGACATAGGCAGACGTCAGTCAAACAAGAAAATGCAGAACGCCCTTTCTACCTGCTGAATGCCATTTCTTTCTTTCTGCCATTTATGTTCTGCAAAACACTTCTAGGTATTCTTTCCTCCGGCTGTACTGGAAGGGCCAGTTCGCACCAGCCACAGTGCTTTCCGGCCGGAACGCATTGCGGCCGGCTCACTTTGTTGTGGGGCGGGAGGGGGCGTATCGAACTCAATGGCACCGTAGCCACGCCCTCCGGCTGCAATGCAATCGGATGCACAGGAGCGCAAAGGCACATCAATGCCTGCGGTCCAGTCCAGAAAAAATGCTGCAAGCACTATTTTTTTCTGACTGGACCGGAAAGCAGGCATTGATGTGCCACGTGTTTCTGATCGCATTGTGGCCGGAGGGCGTGGCTGCGGTGCCATTCACTTCAACGCACCACCCCGCCCACAACAAAGTGAGCCGGCCGCAATGCGATCCAGCGCGTTCCAGCCAGAATCAGGCCCGGAACACACTGTGGCCGGTGTGAAATAACTCTCAAAGATACAACTGTACCTTTAATAAAACCTACACTAGCTAGCTAACATGTCTTCACAATGTAGCCCCACCAACACACATACCAATGGTTTGTTCATACCAGCAAGCTAACAGTAAGGTATCAGTGCGGATGTACTGTTTACTTTTTGTTTGTTTGTTTGTTGGGACCTTAATGAAATGTCATAACATTTCATAAGTTCTATCGGCCACATTGCAATGCATTGTACTGCGTCGCACCACGCTGTGCTGCAAAAAGTACTGTGTGCAGTACAATCTAAGGTCCCAACCTCACACACATACAAGGGCCCAATTAGACAGGAGCCAATTACCCTTCCAGCATGTCTTTGGAGTGTGAGAGGAAAGTGGAGTACCCGGAGGAAACTCACACAAGGAGAACATGCACCCATAAGATGCTTCCCCATCTTTTGAGGATTAGTACCAAATACAATTTTACTCATAAAAAACTCTCTAGCCAACTCTCCCAACGAACCTACACTAAATCCTCCAGCCACATCCTCTCCGCTGTTTACATCACTCTAGGTAAAGTCCTCCTAATCAACCATCAGAGTCCTACAGCACCGTCTCCTGAGGGTGTAAAGAGCGGAGCAGGAGGCCGCTGTGCTATAGAGGTGAGAAGGGAGTCAGAGTTCCTTACTGCAGATGACTCCAGCAGGGCTCAGGGAGTGCTTGGTTTAGTTGTTGTTTAAAGTGTATCTAAAGCCATGTTTTACATTTTTGGATAGACCGCTGAGGGGTTAAAACATCTGTCAGGTTTTTGTTCTAGTCATGGTCCACACTAGGGAGATTTACCCTATCTGTTCAAGGACCACTGGGACACAAAGCAAGGGAAAATTCAACTTTGGAGTTGTCACCGGAACCGAATAAAGGGAAATCTTCCAATGGGGACACTTTACCAGCAAATAGGTTCCTTCACTTTAAAGTTGAAGCCAGGAAAGGGAAAAAAAAAAAACTCTCCTTGCAGTGGGGCTGCACTGCATGGGCTAAATGCTCGTTTAGGCCTAGTGTTCCAGGGAAATGGACTTTTACTTACCTGATCCCCTGTCCCCCAGGCTGAAAAATCAGCAGGGTTATTCACTAAAGGGTGAAGAGTTTGGAGAAGACAGGAGAAGTGAACAATCTAGGACAACATAGCTGATATGGAAACAGGGGCGTAACTAGAGGCTCTTCTCCCTCACACAGCAATGGTTGGAGGCCCGCTCATGTCATCTAGTACAATGCAGGGCCTATAGTCATGTATTATATGCGAGGACACTGAGGGACCATCCACAAGCCGGAGCGTACAGGGGACGAGGAGAGCGCCCACTGCCAATGGAATGGGGATCAGGTCAGTAAAACTGCTTTACCAGAGATAGGCTTTAAAGAGATTTATCTTACTTCCTGTTGTGTCTACAAGCAGGAAGTGAAATGAAATCTGAATGTGGCCATGTACTAAGCTTCTGCACTTCTCCTTTTGTACTTATTTTACTATCCCCAGCACATGCAGTTTTTCAGCTACCACTAATTGATTTTGGAGCAAAATGTATTTAGAGTTGGAGTCCCATGTAGTACATGTTCCACAGACAAGCCTAGTCTACAGATTCAACACCGGAGACTCTGTGACACCTAATCTACTACCATTGCTCCACATACAAAGTGTCAGCAATACTAAACTTTACAAAGATTTTCTGTTTGTTTATACCCAGGGGTGGGAAATGACTGTGGAAGTCCCTCCAATCTAGGAGAAAGCAGGTACCGCAGCTTCCACTAAAGCTGAAAAAAATAATTTCCAATGTTCTTGGAAAGGCAGGGGTGGGCAAACTCCGGCCCTCCTGCCTGTTGTGGAACTACATATCCCATGAGGCATTGTAAGATTCTCACAGCCACAGGCGTGGCTCCCAGGGACAGATGCATCATGGGATTTTTAGTTTCACCACAGCTGGAGAACCGTACACCCCTGTTCTAAGGCCTCATTCAGACAAACATGCACATCCATGCAGAAACCTGCGCCTGGGAGGGACAGCTGCCCCTACAACTCAATTATAAGAAGTGGCTGCACGCCGACTCAAACATGCCCATTTGTACAGGTACAGATGCATGCCCTTGGACGCAGATGATCTGCATCCATACCTGTATGGATGTGCAAGTTAGGGTCAGTGTGTAGCCATGTCCTGTCATGGAGTTGAACCGGCGGCTATACACACCAGCTGTCCCTCCAGGGTGCAGGTTCCTCCACGCTGTACGCCTGTGTGAATGAGGCCAAATTGGAAGGACACTCATCAAGTCTCTGAAAGCATTATCGAATGTTCTAATGACATTTTTCATATGAGCATGTAACCGTATATGGCAGCACAACACAGAGGATTTTGGTTTGAAAAGTTAGCAGTGTGTGTAGAAATATACATACACATATATATATATATATATATAGCTTCTGACCTGAAGAAGAGAGGTTAACTCTCGAAAGCTTGTCTTTTATATATTTTGTTAGTCCAATAAGAAAAGGTATCATCGCATTCTACAATACTCCGTTTTTTTTTTTTTATACATCTTATCTACTGGACTAATACAGCTTACCCATTTACATTACACTATATATATATATATATGCTAGCTGGCTGATAATTCTGGGCATTCCTTGTTGACAAATCACAAATAACTGTTTATTTAATAATTTTCTAGAATGGTTTTTGCATTTTGGGTAATGTTAAAAAACGACAACACGCCTACCTATAAAATGAGGTCATCACATAAAGAAAAGCCTGCCTGGTACAGATATGTAACGGTTTGCACAGAACACATAGGTGACGATCAATGAAAAGTCAGGATTGTACAGGCAATTTGTAATGACAGCTGTCAGTGCCACGACTGTGAAGTGGGATATGTATGGGTAAAGCCTTCAAAGGATCAAAGCCTATAAATAGAACTACTAGTGCAGCCTGCCTTGTGTATATGTCAATGGCTTCCTGCTTCTATGGGTGAGCCCATGTATTTGAGAAGTTCCATAGGGAGTGATCGGGGACCATATGTCACCTCCAGCAGCTGTTAAATTGTTACACTTTAGACAATTCCATGCAGTATAATGAGAGCTGTCGGGTGAGGCGACCCCGGGATCGTGTGCTCCCTTCTATACGAAGTGTGTATACGGTGTGTGTGCCTGTCATTGTATAGGCTGGCGATCGATCTATGTCTGCTATTGTTACCACACACACACATCATCAGAACACAGACAAGGGCTGGGCATTGGGCTCTCACCCAGGGCTACGTAGCGCCGGTTGACCCCGGTCTTGGCCTCGATCTTCTCCAGCAGGTCGGTGCACACATTCTTCTGGTGCAGGAACTTGTCGAAGGAATCCTTCAGCGCCGCAGCCATGCTGAGTATGCCGGCAGACGGAGTGTGTGTGTCTGGCTGAGAGCTGGCTGTGTGAGATGGCTGATCTGCGGAGTGGAGGGAGGAGGAGGAGTCTGCAGAGGATCTGACTTTATCGTCAGCATGAGACCAAACCACCGAGACCCGAGATGTCAGCTGCCAGCCGTCCGCTCCCTGCTAGTTCACTGCCAGTACTGCAACCACACCCAGAGCACACTGCAGAGGTCCCAGCATTGTTCCCCGGATCCATGTGTACACGGCTGGGCTGTCACCTACATCCAGGACCATTTGTAGAGAGCAGAGCTGTCACCTACCTCTAGGAGGATGTGTACAGAGCAGAGCTGTCACCTACCTCCAGGAGGATGTGTACAGAGCAGAGCTGTCACCTACTTCCAGGAGGATGTGTACAGATCAGAGCTGTCACCTACCTCCAGGAGAATGTGAGCAGAGCTGTCACCTACCTCCAGGAGAATGTGTACAGAGCAGAGCTGTCACCTACCTCTAGGAGGATGTGTAGAGATCAGAGCTGCCACCTACCTCCAGGACCATGTATACACATCAGAGCTGTCACCTACCTCCAGGACCATGTGTACATAGCAGAGCTGTCATCTACCTCCAGGAGGATGTGTATAGAGCAGAGCTGCCACCTACCTCTAGGAGGATGTGTAGAGATCAGAGCTGCCACCTACCTCCAGGACCATGTATACACAACAGAGCTGTCACCTACCTCCAGGGTCATCTGTACACAGCAGAGCTGTCACCTACCTCCAGGACCATGTGTACACAGCACAGCTGTAACCTACCTCCATTGCCATGTGTACACAGCAGAGCTGTCACCTACCTCCACCTACTGTACACAGCAGAGCTGTCACCTACCTCCTGGAGGATGTGTAGAGAGCAGAGCTGTCACCTACCTCCAGGAGGATGTGTAGGGAGCAGAGCTGTCACCTACCTCCAGAAGGATGTGTAGGGAGCAACAACACTGTAGACTGTGTCACACTACACTGTGCTGAAAAAAGTACTTCATTCCGTACTTTTTTTTCAGCGCACCACCACAATGCAGTTTATGTGTATTGCCCAGTGCAATCCAAAGTGAGCCTACTGAAATGTCAACTTAACAAAATAAAAATGCAGGGGGTATATTTACAAAACATTTGCAGAGCCTTTCATCTAGCGAACCTGCATGTGCATTTGTTTTGTTTCAACAGAGGCAAAAACAAAGGTTATTAATGTTTTCTTTCCAGGTTGAATGTACCTTGAGGAAAATACTGTATTATGACCACTAGATGGAGCGGAGGAGCATATGAAAGAAGTATTTATTTCCTATGCTCATCATCTCCATCTAGTGGCCATAATATGCTATTTTCCTGATATTACATATCAGGAAAATATGCAGTAAAGTGAAAGGGCCTGCATCATTCTTGCGTGTTGATGCATTTTAGCAGATCTATAACACAAAAGACGAGTGTTTAAAACACTTTGACACGAATGCATATAGTAATGTACTACAAGAACACACCCGTGAATTGCTATCACAGCGGTCTCCTGATGCAACCTCTCCCCCTTTAATTATAAACAATTGCAACAAGTAGAAAACAGGGGTTTGAAGAGAGGTATACAGCCACTGCATGGATACATTTTTATAAAAAATATAAAGTTTATTGTACACTGAATAAATAGTATAAAATCATATGTACAATAATTAAACTGGACGAAAACACCATTCTAGAGCTGCAGCTAACGATTATTTTCAAAATCGATTAGTTACGCAAGGAGGTGCGTCATGTGGATGCGGGCGGGTCTGGCAGCAGCGAGCGTGAGGTGGGGAGAAAGTGTGGCGCGCAGCGTGTGTGGAGCCGTGAACAGGGCCAACCAATCGGAAGCCGATTAATCGATGATTGAAAAAGTTGACAACTTTTTCAATCATCGATTATAGTCCATTATGTCGATTAGTTGTTGCAGCCCTACACCATTCCTATTATCAGGAGCTTATATGCCATAAATTGTATCACATCCCCATAACTCCAGTTACATTCATTTAATACCACATCTACGTTCAGATGGAGATAGTTATATCCAGTCCCAACGTGTTTCGCATATTGCTTCCTCAGGGGATCATGGATTAATCTAGCAATACAAATTATACATAAAAGTAATTTTCCTGAACAATACAGCATATCCATAACGAGTTTATGTAAGACGTGAATAAAAACTAATTGGCAGTCAGACCAAGCAGACAAGAAGCCCCACCATACAAATGCACACATATTACATCAGCCAGATGTTCTTCCACCTTTATGTGATCAACAAAAAAGTGCCCAGCAATCTTTGTGATGTCTATGTGAACCCCATTTATATTCGAGGCAAAAAATACCCCCAATTTATCTTGTAGGGTGTGAATAAAGCTATAGGGGTGCATATAAATCAATGTAAATATCATATATGATGAATGCCAGGGAGATGTGCACTCCCCAAGTTATTCAATAGTGAGTGTACTGAGTGTGAACCTGGGGCTTATGTGTATAAGAGCACTACCATTATATCAGGAGAATATGAACCAATCCACCGGAGAGACCGCCAATAAAAAATTACATATCCCATCGTTACAATAATTAGTGATTCAAATGTACTCCATACTGGATACAGTTAACATAATCCATTTCTAAATGATTATCAAACGCTAATTCAAACCACATTAGTCAAATTCTATAATTATTAACAGATCAATTCTGCATATTCCTTGTAAACACAATAAGTACAATAATAAACCTCTGTGTCCAGTCATAAAGGATTGTCCAAGAAGAGCCACGTCAATATCCTAAACATTCCCTTAAAGAAAGGGCTTGTAGCTGAGCAGATCATTTAAACCCGGAGGGACGGTGGATCTAAGTCTATAAATTCATCGTGCCTCCGTTCTCAACAGTATTTGATCAAGGTCACCGCCTCTCACATCCTCATTTATATGGTCCAATATGTGGAATCTCATGACAGACAAGTTAAAGTTGTGACATAGTCCTACATGACGGCTGATCGGAGTTGTTAACTTGCCATTTTTAACTAGGTATAAATGATCATCTTTTCCAAACTGGTCTATATGTTTTCCCTACATAAAAGGCCCCACATGTACATTTCATTAAGTAGATCACATTTGTGGTTTGGCACTTCACTGTGTGCTTCAATCTCCATTGCTGGCTGTTCGGTAAAAGAACCGTATTGCCTACTACAAACCACTTGCAGTAGCTACAGTGCCCACACCTCCTGAACCCCAATTCCTCACAGGATAAACCCTGGGTGGATGGTGTGTAGAGGCTGTGGGTAAATCTATCACGTATAGATCTAGCTCTTCTAAATACTATTTCAGGAGCATCTTTGATGTACCTCTGTATAATACTGTCACTCGTCAGAAGGTGCCAACGACGCTTAACACAATTCCTGATTGTGGCATGTTGCCTTGAGTATTTAGTAATCATTCTAACTGTCTGTCTTTGTGATCCCTTATAATTTGTAGTCACTTTATTGTCACCATATAATATTTGAACCCTATCTCTCTCTTGTACCCGATTGTAAGCTTTTATCAATACCTTCTTATTATAGCCCCTCTCTAATAGTCGGGTCTGTAGGGCCCTAGCCTCCCTTTGGAAGTCACTATCCAGTGAGCAGTTTCGTTTTAGCCTAAGATATTGGCTGTAGGGGAGATTGTCTTTTAAGAACCTCAGGTGTGCACTGGACACGTGCAAGATAGAATTCCCTGCTGTTTCTTTGCGGTATAATCTAGTCATAAGACAATTATCCTCCCTAATTGCTATAATCTGGCTATAGCTAGTAGTAAACCTAAGATTGAAATCATTATTGGTCAGAGAGGCAACAAATTTCTCCAGATCAAATAAGGTGCCAGTCCAAATCAAGAAAACATCATCAATGTAGCGTCGCCACAGTGAGATGTTATCAAGCCAAGCCTGTATCGACTCATTAGAGAATAGATTGCGCTCCCATCCTCCAAGATATAGGTTTGCGTAGGATGGGGCACAGCATGTCCCCATCGCTACTCCCTGCACTTGGAGGTAATGGGTCTCTCTAAATACAAAAACATTTCTAGTCAAGATATGGCGCAACAGGTCGACAACAAAATTGTTATACGCCCATTGCGCCCTCTGTCTCTCACATAGAAAACCTCCAATTACTTCGATGCCTTTTGTATGTGGGATACTGTTATACAGAGATTTAATATCCAAGGCTACTAGCCAACAGTCAGTTGGGACCAACAATTCCTCCACTAATTTAAGAAGTTCGACTGTGTCTTTCAAATAAGAAGGGAGAGATACAACATGTGGTCGCAAGTAGCCATCTACTAAGATACTTGCTTGTTCTGATATACATCCTATTCCTAAAACAATTGGACGTCCGGGGAGATTTTTTAGACTTTTGTGAATTTTGGATAAAGAATAAAAACAGGGTAGTCTGGAATGTTTCACCTCTAGATATTCTAGTGTCTTCTTGTCGATCAAATTATTCATAAAGGCTTGATGAATGATAGCCAGAAATTCCACGCTAAAGGCCTCAATGTCTTATTTTGTAATAGGCTTATACCATTCCCTGTTACTCAGAATTCTCTCACACATGGACTCATACTGACTACAGTCCATGATCACAATGTTGCCTCCTTTATCGGACGATTTAATAACGATATCATTGTTTTTTTCCAATTTACCTATCGCCAATCTCTGTTCCCTAGTTAAATTCCTCCTATCTCCTTTCAGGGTCAGGATTTCCTCTAGGTCTTTACTTGTTTGCTGTAAGAAAGCCCATATATTGGGATTCCCGCAAAGATAAGGGAATTTATGAGATTTCTTTTGGTATGTTGTGGGTTCATCCCTTAATTCTTCTATGTTTCCCCCCTCCCCCTCTTTTCCCTCCTCCATGGATGTATGAACGTGCTCCTCTTCCCAAAGTTTCATTAGATCACAAAGGGCCCTAAAGTCCCTGATAGTATACCCTTTCCATCTCTCAAAGTCCTACCTAATTGATTACCGTGGTTTCTGTTTGTCATGGATGACTTTGAACAT